CTCATCATTAACAAGTTCACCTGTGTATGCATCATGTGTCTTGACTGCTGAAACCACTGATCTCTTTTTGCCACTCAGAGTCTGTAGTAGAGTATCAGGAGGCCAATTAGTGGTAGAACAAGGAAGTTGTTTGCTTTTTTTAACAGAGCCAGGATGCTCATTTATACAGTGAAAAGCAACTAAAACAGAGCACGGAAATTCCAATAGACTTGACATCATCCAAGTAAAGGCCTAAACTCTTATCCTATTTACCTATCCAACTGGCTGCATCTTTCCAGGTCTTTTGTCTGTGTGGCCTGCACATTTTAGTATGGTAGTTACAGTTTCTCACTGTCTGCATTTCAGCTGCCTAAGAGAGGGAGGAACTTGATTTAAAACTACTTCAGATCCCTCTCCTTTCCCTATGTGCTTGAGTAAGACTGATGGGCAAGACTCTTTTCTCCAAACTTGAGCATGTTTGGTTTGACCCACTGCAGAATTCAGAATCATGATGAATGCAGATACTGTTCAGGTTAAACCAAATAATCCTTTCTTGTAACAAAAATAGAACTACAAATTAATTATGCTGGAAGAAAGAGGCATTTAATGAGTATTTCTGTGGAAGAAGTGATAAATGTTTGTCAACAGATAAATATGTAAAAAGCTTCTGATTAAAAGCATAATAATTATTTAAAGAAAGTTCCCCTTTTTTTGCCCCTCAGCCAGAACTTCCACAGCCATGTCTGGAGGGATTACACACACCTACAAGCACAACACAGGGACCAGTGGGTCTTATTCAGGAAAAGAAAAAAGGGAATCTTGACAGTTGCTTTATTTCAGTTAGCAAAGAACAACTTGCCTGTTAGTGAAGGTGAACTCTGGTGCTCACAAGCAGGAGCAGGGCAGGGAGTAATGACTCACAGGAGACAGAACTCTTAAAAGTGAGGACTGGAATCATCTTTCTTTTGCATGGCTGGGAGCCACAAAGAATACACCTACAACTGAGATTAAAATGACAACAGAAATGTCATCCTACTCTGCCTTGCTAATATTATGAAGAGGAACAGAACGAGGGGAGCTGAGCAAACAGGGCTTGTGGCACAGTCAGTTACTTGCTTTGTTTTGTTTGACTGCTATTCCATCCTCACAGTGTGTCTGTTCTCCTGGCTGAGGACTAGAGAGGAATTGCTTTGCTCTGCACAAACACCAGCTCTATCACTCTTGTCTCCAATGGCCACATCCAAAGGATGTCACCGAGCTGCAGACAGAGGGGAAACACTTCTGGCACGTGGCTAACTCACCCATCTGTCAGTCAGCAGTTTGTATTCTGACTCTTTGGCCTTTGCATCTTTGCCCTACTTGAGCAGAGGTTTCATGTTGGGATGTGTGGGAGAAGCTGGGCTTCTCTTTACACTCCTGCTGACCTGTGTTTCTATTATTCCATGGTGACACAAAGAGCAAATCGGATTCAGGTGCAGCAAATTTGGCTGCTGTATTGGGAAACAGCTGTGGAGGAAAAAATTCAGACCCAGTGACAGGATCCCAGTACTATGCAGAAGGATGACAAGAGACAAGCCAGAGGCAATGAAAGGTAAGTTTTGAATGGCACTTCTTGTCGACTGGGAGAAAATTCCTGGAAACCTACAGCACAGGCAGTTGTTAGCTTACACTTTGCACAGAAAGCAATGCAGAGCCCGAATTCAGTCCCTGTTACGCTGCCTTTGCCTCGGTTTAGTGGAACTAATGAATAAATGCGTTGCTCACACAGCTGTCAGGACTGTGAATAGAGGGCTGGAAGGAGAGCCCAGCACAGCAGAGAGGCCTGGAGCCAAAGGGGATCTGCAGGGGAAGGTTCAGGAGGTGGATAACTGCTCAATAGAGGATTAAGTACACGCTGGGTGAAGAGTATTGATGGCTAGATACGGGCAGTGAGTTGCCCTAGGGGACACTTTTTTCTTGGCTGTTGAAAATAGCATCAGTGCTGACTGCAGCTGAAGCCTCACTTCTTGTAAATGACTTCAATCATAACAGAATTAGTGTGACCACAGCTTCACGGCGGGGACGGTGATGCTCCTCCTACTGAGCATTCAGTAACTCTTCACTGCTTGAATAACCAGGTTCTCTGAACATCCACACATCTCTTAATCAGCTCTGTTCGTTAGCAACTGTTTTACAGCTGCTGCATTGTCTGTAAATTAACCTGCTCTGAAAGCAACGTGTGTTTCAGTCTAGAAAGTGGGGAAGCCTTGGTCTTGGTGGCTGCAGAGTGCCAGGAGTGTGGCAGTGGAGCAGAGCTGGGGGTGAACCTGCTGCACAGTGCCCATCCTGCTGCAGTGAGATTATTTTAGAGCTGCCCCTTCCTCGCAAGGTATAAACATTGCAGACTCTTCAAAAATGTGGCTTCGCTGTGCTCCTGAGCATGGTTCAGATTCTTCCATAGTCCTTTAAGGGATTGACTGTTTACTTCACTTTCCAGCCACAGTCAAAGGGTCAGAGCAAAGAGCTGGGCAAGAGGGGGAGGGACTCACCACACTTCTTGTACTATTTGGCAGGAGGGATTAAAAAAATCACCGCACTGATATGTGTTTCTATTGCTTCAGGTGCAGAGTACTGCAAATTCCTTATTTGACCTTGCTGGGACTTTATTGAGGATGAGAGATCTGACAGCTGAAATTGCTACAGAACTCTTGAGGAGATTCCTGGTGTGCCCATCAGATGTGACAGTGTCCTCAGATCAGCATACACAGGTAAACAGACATTTTAGTGAGCCCTTCATTAGCTCTCACGGAGGGCAAGTTAGAGTGATGTTGTGAACACACATACTGTGGTTAGGATTTTTTGGTTGCTGTGGAGAAACCTACATATACGTACTAGCAAAAGGATCTGCCTGGTCACTGTATTGTCTGTTGGGGAGAGAGAGAGAAGGAAAGGAAGAGGAAGAAAGATAAGGCAGGTAAAAAGACAGTGTGATTTAAAAATACAAGCCAGCTTTGTCTCCTTACTTACGAGACATTTTATACAATTCTCACCTTCTTGTCTTTAATTCTAGTTTTGATGGTATTTTTTCTGAGCTGTCCCACATTTGCATTTTATATTAAAGACAAAATGAAGGTATTTAGGCACCTCATGTGGGAGAAAACGGATCATATAATTTCTGCTAAACTTACTCTAAAGCAATAAAAGGGAGAGAGAAAGAAAATAGGTTTGTTTCTGCCAGGAAGAAAATGAAATTAGTTCAGTCCTTATGCTTTTAATTCCACACCTCTCAGTGGAAAGACCTTTACTGTATATCTAGGTCCAGTTTTGTTTGGTTTTATCAGAAGTAACAGAAAACCTTCTAAACTACACTGTGCTTGTTCGACCACTGATGCTATCATGTGGGCACTCATTTATATCTAGCAAGGCAAGAGTCATCAGTTTGGGGCCTGAAGGGTTAAAAGAGTCTAGTGTGGAGCTGGGAAAAGAGTATGGGAAAGGCATAACAATCTCTGCTAGCAGACAGCAAACCAGTTTGGCAGCATCCACCCTGCAAAGACTTTTTTGCAATTTAGCTTCTTAATGCTATTCACATTCAGACAGTGGCTTTGCTCTGCTTCCCTATCTGCTGCATAACACATCATCCACTACTTCCCAAATGTATATGCTTGCAGCTGCTGTGGGAACATACATCATTTGGCAACTAATTCCAGCTTTAGAATTAAGCAGAAATGCTGTCTGCTGTCTTAAGACAGATCCAAAGAACATTTTTAGGGAAGCAACACATGCTCCTGCCTGTGTGTTCTTTCTTTTTTCCTTCTTTCACAATATCTAGTGCACTGAGTGATCCTTAGTCATGTTTGAGGAGGAAACCTATTTATTCCAAATAAGCATCAATGATGTAAGAGCTGATTTGCTCAACATTAAACAAATTATTCCGTTAGGATCACTATAGAACATGTACTCAGTGTTTCCTAACAGGGGATTTATCTTTAAAAGGAATGTGAATTACAGTATAGGAAAGACCTTTTATCTCCCAAACTCTAAAGATGACTTCATTTACTGCTTGCAGTTCCTGTAAGCTCTGCAGATCTGTGCTGATAGAGGAGATTTCTGTGAAAGACTCTGCCTTCTTTGAAGTGATTTGGTTCAGCTGGTTTTCTAAGTCAGCTTTTCATGGATTTCAGGAAATGCCTGGGGGAGGGGAGAATCACCTTCTCATAATGTAGGTGACTTCTGCCTGATCAGGCATCTCAGGACGTTCACAACTGCAGCCCTATGGGCACTGGTTTTCCATTCTATCAGCAGATAGAAACAAAACAGTCTAATATAGTTTAACTTTCTTTGAATGCAGTTTAGCCACTGGAAATTACAGCTGCAAATGTATAGGCTTATGCTCTCTGGATCCTGTCATGGAGCTAAGTCATAGATCCTTTTAAAGTATCAAATCTGTGCTCTGGAGATCACCTGGAGTTTAAAATAAGAAGCATCTTTTCTAGGTTTAAGGATGTCTGCACCTTTGTCATTTTGTGTATGCCAATTTTCAAAGAGAACTAAGTTCTCCTTTCCCACAATGCTCACAGGCTTTCCAAGTGTGTGAAAGGCATTTCTGGAGAGTTTTATTTTCCCCCATTCAGGATCATGGAGTTTGGTTCTGCCAGACAGAAACCTCTTCTTGCTCAGAGCCTTGTACCTCTGAACAGAAATAAGGCAAGCCAGAGCTGGTGCAATTTGCTCAGCCAAGGGTTCCATTCACTCTTTCAAAAACTATGCACTAGTCTTAACACACTGTTCCTGTTCTCATGGGTTTAGAAGACAGTTAGGTTCATCCTCAGGACATTTTCTACTTGCATCTTTCTGTGGTGGGCTTTTTGGGACAGGAATCCTCTGTCTGCTGCACTAGCACTAAGACAGACTAGTTTGGTAGGACCACATGGAGACCTGTCTGCACTTACACACTCAGCTATGCAGTTAAAGTTTGTCAGCAGGACAGGTACCAGAGCCTTGAAAACTAAAAACAGAGATACTGTTGTTTTTTTTAAAAACTGTCACAGTAAAGTTTATTATGTTAATATCATTAAAAATACTATAAAATAATAATATACTCTGCTTGGCAGAAAAACTATGCCAGGGTTTTAAAACCCCAGGTTTGTGCAAACAGTTTTTGTAAACATAAGAAGTCAAGTGTTCAAGTTCTATCCCAAAATACAGTAAACTGCTACAAAAATAAGTTTGCTCACTGTCAAACATATTTAAAAACCCAGGAAGCTGGATTTCCTTACACATCTCTCACACGTACATACAGTTAATGCTGCACTTAGATCTGAAATGGGAAGGATTTCAGATAGTCCTTTAGAACAGGATTGAGGGGGATCTGGTTTAAGTTCTCTCCTCCAAAAGTCTTGACGATGGTTTTCCGGCAGAGCTCCTGCAGCGGCTGCACCCGGACCCTGCGCAGGGGGGTGACCAGTACCTTCCTGGGGGAGCTTAGGTAATGTTCCAGCAGCTTAAAAAGGCAGTCAAAAGTCTCTTTGCTGCCATCCAGGCTGAAACGCCCAGTCTGGAAGTTAATCCTGATGCTGGTGGGCCCAGTCGCAGTCTTAACACTGATGGCAAAGAAGCAATTCTTCTGTGTGCTGTCCCTGATGAGGAAGGTGCCCTCGGGCTCAGACTTGAGCTTCTCGTGGGCAGCACTGACGCTCAGAGGTCCCCAGTAGAAGCCACAGGCATCCAGCAGGCTGCTGGCCCGGGTGATGCTGCTGAAATCCGCCTGCGAGCGAAAGGTTCGGAAGTGCGTGTTGCCCTGTGCCTGCAGAGTGCCAGCTCGGCCCTGGAAGCCTCGTGCCTGGGCACGATCCCGTGCTGGAGGCTCAAGTAGACGTCTGGGGTCAGCTCCAACTGCATTATCTGCTGACACCTTGCTGTGCGCTACCATCCTACAGCCTAGAGCGGCGGGGGAGGTGATCCATAGCGACAGCGGCTACGGCAGGACAGCTCTCCAGCAGCGACTCTGCAATGCCAAAGAGACACCATGTGAGATCCACAAAGAGCAGCTGTAATCCTTGAATGACCAGCTCTTCCATGGAGAGGCTTCCCACCCGTTATAAAACAATGAAATATTCATTTTCCAGCTTACACCGGGCTAATAACTGCTGGCTTTCTGACAAGGTTAGCAGGCTATCGCTGTTTGGAGCAGAAGCTCCAAAACTATTTAGCAAGGCTCATTAACAGCTACAGAGGATAATGCAGTGTCCCTGCTGGGAACCCTCAAAAGCATCGCAGGGCCCAGTGAGTCAAATGACTTCACAGTGAGAAGTTACTTGGTGAACACTCCATCCCTGTCTGGAGATTTCAGAGAACAAAGCAACAAGGTTTTACAGCTGAACTGCCAATTGCTCTGTCCCTCCCCTTTCCCTTCCCTGCTCCCAAAGCGATGTCAGAACTCAGCAGAGTTACTCGAGGCGTTGTGTGAGAAAGGTGGGTGAAGGGTATGTTCCTGGGGAGCTGGGAAGAAGGTGAGGTGAATAGTGTGTGACAGGGTATGTTCCTGGGGAGCTGGGAAGAGGGTGAGGTGAATAGTGTGTGTAACTTGTGCAGTGTAACTTGTCTGTACCACGGCCAATTTACACAGCAACCCTAAAACTGCTTCCCTCCCTCCTGTTAACCTGAGGCTCAGCCATAAACGGCAATTTCCCATTCCCCCAACTTTCCCTTGGGACAGCAATGCTACAACCTCACTAGCTTACACAGATCAACCTCTGTGAACCCTTAAGGCATTACTCCGCAGCCTCTCTCTCTTTTTTGTATTACATGCACTTTAAGTGGCCCAATCTAAATTGCTTCCTATTGATATATCTTTCAGCATGAGGAACTAAATTCATCCCTCGCGTTACTTCAAAGGAATTAGCAGTGCTGCACCAGGAATGAGTTTGGCCTGAGACGTCTGCTCTGACAGTGTGGTTCAATACATCTCCGCTGGCTGCCCTGACCTTACTGGCAAGCATAGATTTTAGGATTTATCCCTATAGTCAGATATAGATCTGCAGCAGCAGCTTGTTGAGAAACCTTGAAGTGTTCTGAGAAATGAATCCCTCAGCCATCTTACGGTTCAGGGTAACATGCTAATGAGGATTTCAAAGAAAGGACGCAGCTGGATTCCTGTCTCTGCTAATTTAACAATTTGCCGTTTGGTTTCATTTAGGTCCTATTACCTCCTCAAGCAGCAAAGAGGGTTGTAAAATCCTTTATGCTGCCAAATAATTTAACAGGCTGAAAGCAGCGTTGGGGCTTGCTTTGCACATCAGAAGGAAAACCGATGCCAGTTTTTCCAATTACCCAGCCAGGATTATCGCTCAGTATTTAAAGTTTCAAAATTCAATTTCAGGACGCCCTAGGGAGAAATAACCACTAAGCCTGAATCTAAACATCACAGGGCTCCCGAAGAGAAGCCGCTCAGAGCCAAGAGAGAGTTTGCCGTGCCTTGCCAAAGGGCAAACACAGACTGTCCGAGCGCCGGGGCTGGCACAGCTCTGCCCCAACCCTGTGTCCCTCTGCCTTGCTCCGGGCAGCAGAGCTCCGTCCGAGCGCGGGCACCGAGCCCCGAAAAAGGAGGAGAGGGACAAAATAGAAACAAACCATTTGAACAGGGGAGAAGGAAAAAAAAACCCAACAATGAAACCCAAAGCTTCGCGCAGCAGATCGTTCTACCCCGGGCGCTGAGCTCCCCGCGGGGAGCGACCCCCGGCACAAACCCCCTTACCCTGGCGGGG